TCTGTTACCGTGTTTGGCATATTGAATACGTCACAGGGAGCTTGCCAGACTCTGTCATGCAGGCAGGGTACTCTCAGTAGCTTGCTGGGCTTTCTGAGTGGGACAGAGGAATTGAACTTGGGTCAGCCATGTGCAAGGCAAACGCCCTACCCTCATTTTCTGTGTATGGCCACATTTTCTTATTAAAAGATTTAATACGGATTATATATATTTAAGAATCTAGCTTTAGAATTCTGCTATTTACTAAGGCTGCAAAAGATACGGGAAAAGTGTCTCTTTAACCTTTTAAAAATTATTCTTACTTTTTAAAAAAATTGGGGCTGGCGAGAAGTACAGCAGGTAGGGCACTTACCTTGCATGCGGCCCAGCTGGGTTCGATTCTCAGCACCTTACACAGCCTCCAGGAGTGACCACTGAGCACAGCCAGGAGTAAGCCGTGAGCACAGCTGGGTATTGCTCAGTGCTCGCCCCCCATCTTGCTTACATAATTTTTCTCATTATATAATTTTTTAGTTAAGTATTTTAACAATATTTAAGACTTGCCGTGCACACGGCCAACCGAGGTTTAATCCCCCACATTGGTTCCCGGAACCCTGTCCAGAGGGATGCCGTAGCACAGAGTGAGAAGTAAGCCTCGATTGGCCTGGGTGTGGCCCAGTCTTGCACCACCATCTCCCTCCCAAAAAAAAAAAATTTTCTGTTGATCAAGACATGAGTGGAAGTAGGACCACCACACCAGAAATGGTAAGTGGTTCCCCGGCAGCAGGGCGGGTGCAGCAGCGAAACGGATCAGGCTATTGAGTGGGATTACGTGAGAAATGACGTGGAGTCATGATAATATTAACATTCACCAGAAAGGAGCAGATGAAATTTGGGGGTGAAGTCTTAGTGTGGGTGTGATCAGTGCTACACTTCAGGAACATTGATTTACATGTTGGATTCTGGAAGATTAATAAATGGGGTTGAAAATTAATCAAAATTCTAGGGCTGGAGTGATAGCACAGCAGTAGGGCGTTTGCCTTGCACACAGCCAACATGGCCAACCCGAGTTCGATTCCTCCGCCCCTCTCGGAGAGCCCGGCAAGCTACCGAGAGTATCTCGCCCGCACGGCAGAGCCTGGCAAGCTCCCCGTGACGTATTCGATATGCCAGACACAGTAACAACAAAGTCTCCAATGGAGACGTTACTGGGCCCGCTCGAGCAAATCGACGAACAATGGGAGGGCCTTTACTTTTACTTAATAAATGGGGTTGAAAATTAATCAAAATTCTTGAAGCCTGTAGTGTGATGTTAATATCGAGTGCTTACATGTCAGGTGCCTTACAGTATTTCAGTGAAGCGTCACAGCACTGTGTGGTAGCCACTTTCCAAGTTAGAATTTCATATGTCCAGCTGACCTATTTCATACACCATAATTCAGTACTTTTTCTAGGCACATTTTCTCAACATACACATGTACACACACGGATACTCTTAAAATCAATAGGCACCTTATTGAATGCAGTACTAATTTGGCGTATTATAATATGCTATCAATTAGCAATCATAGAATTTTAGTGAGACTTAAAAGTATCATATTTGGTGTTGTGATAAAGTATTAAATGTGATTTCTGACCCCAGGGACCTTTACATACCAATTAACACAAGATGCAAGTGCCTGAAAAGTTAAATTGCAATAAAAGAAAATTGCCAGTGAATTAAGTATTAATCATTCATTGTGGCTTCTCTATATCTTGGTTCTCAGCTAAAAGGACATTTGCAGGTTTGTTTCTGAAGGAGGCAGCAAGCTGTTTCAGAGCCAAACCCACTTGTTTTATCTCAAGCAAATAGTGCAGTAGTTCAGTAGATTCTGAATGGGATCTAATTGTATTGTCCTTTCTAGCAGGAAGTTCCCTTCACTTTTTAAGTCCATACATACCTTCATTAGTAAAAATTTTCTAATAACAGTTCTAAAAGAAGAAATCATGAGTTTGAAATACATAATTTTTACATTGTTTATTTTGTATTCAACCTTTTATCCATCTTGTATGTGAAAATAAAATTTCGTGTACCATGGTAGACATTCTCAGCCACCAGTCTCTTAAACTGTTATCACAGCCCGAAGTACAGATTCCAGAGGGGAAGGGGAAGCAGTTGTAGATTGATGGGAGCACCAGATGCCTGTATCCCCATAAAACGAAAGAGCACAAAAACTACAAAGACCTAGAGTTCGTCTGCCCAGCACTCGTTTACAGTAAGGGAACAAAGGTCTGCCAGTTACTTCCCCTGTATGGGTTGCAGAGATAAGGAGAACAGTGGATTTTGTCTGGTGTTTGATCCACTCCTTAATACTACTTCTCTCCATAAAAATAAAACTCAGTAAACAGGCAGCAAAAGACAGGGTTCCCTCCTGATGGAAGGGGTTCAACCTGGTGTGTCAGCAGCAATGGAAGCGGTTCTTATCAGAGGTCATGGTCCCCTTTGAGAATCAGATGAAAAAAGACAATGGACTCTTCCTGGAAAATTGTGTATATGCAGAATAAACCGTAGACTTATAAAAAGCCTGTTCATGACTTGCCTGCCAATCTGAACATCACAAGAGGAAAGGTTACTAAAAAATCAGTAATTGTCATACTATATATGTGGCAGCAAATAGATGAAAAACTAAATTAGAATGTGGAGTGTTGGTTGTGTTCTTTAAACAGTTCTTCGACAGTCCAGTCTGTCGTACTTTTCTCTGTGCTATTGAGTAGATAAGGTATATAGGCAATGAGGAGCAGGGAACAACGACTGTGGTTTGGGGTTTTAGTTTTTTCTATAAAGACAACAGTGTGTATATGTGTATAATACATGCATATGCGTGCATAATTTATATGAACATTCAGTTTGTTGAGACTTGGGGAAGCATGTACTTTACTCCTTCACTATTTGCAGTGCTTCAGTGGAAAAGTTTGAATAGTGCAGGGCTAATGAACATGCTGATTTTTATGCAAGTGAGTATTGTCTGTCTCTTTAGCAGTTAGTACTTGTTTCCTGAAATGAATTAGTAAAAAATTAAGTGACTGTGGGCAGAGGTCCACAATTCTTTTTTGTACGCTTTCATGTTAACTTAAGGTTAGGAGCGTAATAACTACTAATTACTGATACAATATCAACTAAATCAGTATACCATAGATATTGGAATGTTATACATACGTGTGTGTGTGTGTGTGTGTGTGTGTGTGTTTGAAGCACTTGCTCAAATGACAATCTCATTGAATTTTCAAAAGTTGAAAAACCTGTCCAGTGTCCAGTCCCAAAGTGTCATGCTTTCACATTGGAATGTTATATTAGGTTTTCCTCCCCAAACAAAACTTATCAAATTGGTTATGTGAACTCCTCAGGCATAAACCACTCAACAAAAAGTAGAAAGTAGTAAATGCTGGGACTGGAGTGATAGCACAGCAGATGGGTCGTTTGCCTTGCACACAGGCAACCCAAGTTCGATTCCCAGCATCCGATATGGTCCCCTGAGCACCGCCAGGAGTAATTCCTGAGTGCAGAGCAAGGAGTAACCCTTGTGCGTTTCCTGGTGTGACCCAAAAAAGAAAAAAAAAATTGCCACTCAATGCCTCTTTTGCAAACCACAGCACCCAAGAGGAGAGAGAGAACAAAAGGGAATGCCCTGCCACAGAGGCAGGGTGGGACGGAGGGGATGGGGGGTGGGAGGGATACTGGCATCAGTGGTGGTGGAGAATGGGCACTGGTGGAGGGATGTGTGTTTGATCACTGTGTAACTGAAACCCAAGCACAAAAATTTATAAGTCTATAACTGTACCTCATGGTGTTTCACTAATAAAAATTTTATAAAAAGAAAAAAAGAAAGTAGTCAATACTTAACTGATATGTGCTATCAAGAAAATAATAGCTTTTAAAATGTAAAAATATACATAATAATCTATGTTGTGTTTCTGACAACCAGTAGGCTTCATTTTGTGGTGAAAGAATAAAATGAAATTGGAGCAGTCATTCTTGCTAAAAGGGAATGAAGACTTGATAGATTAAATGGAGCTTTTTTCCTCTTAAAGATTAGATGCCAAAACCTAGGATAGTCAGTCAGTGGACAGGGTGAGGTGTTTTGGGGGGAGGGGAGTGTTGTGTTGGTTTTGGAGCCATACCCAACAATGCGCAGGGTTTACTCCTGGCTCTGCACTCATTAATCACTCCTGGCAGCACTCGGGGACCATATGAGTCCCTAGGATTGAACCCAGGTCGGCCACATGCCAGACAAGCACCCTCCCCTCTGTACTATCACTCTAACCACTTAAGAGAGTAGTTGTGTTTGTTAGACTTGTGAATTCTCAATGAATGGAAAGGACTCTGGGACCATTAAAAGCTCATTTTAATGATACTGTAACCTCTCACCGTCAGTCCATCACCTTCTAAGTATTTGTATTCCTTTTCTTCATAGCTGTTATATCTTAAAATTAGGTTCAATCATATGGCTATTTGATTAATATTGGTTTCCTTCACTATATAAGAGCCTCCATGCAATCAGAAGCCTTGTCTGATTCTGCCTGCCAGTGTTCCCTCTGTGAATAGGGCCTGCCAGGCAGGCGAATGAGTGAGCAAATTCTTAATGGCTGATTATATGATTACCTTGTGATAAGGATGTCAGTTTCATCAGTTAGGGAAGTGGTGCAAATTAAATTCTATGCCTTACCATCCGCATAAAGTCTTAATCTTTGAACCCACTAATCCTATATTGACATACTGATTGAGAGCCTTAGAAATAAGTGCACAGTGATAGATTCCATTATGGCTAGTACCATTATGTATTGTTTTCAGCGGGACTAAAAATTCTTGATTTGAATTAGTCATACTGTTTGTTACCCATTGTGTAGAATTTCAAATATTTGACCACTGGTTTGACTTTGCAAGAAATTTTTATTGTTTTCATAAAATTGTTATAGTTGCCTCGTTTCCTTTCTATAATTTAGCACCCAGGTAAATGTTATTTTCATTTGACTTATCTTAAAAGGGAGAAGACGTCAACCGGACACTAGAAGGGGGAAGGAAGCCTCTTCATTATGCAGCAGATTGTGGGCAGCTGGAAATCCTGGAATTTCTGCTGCTGAAAGGAGCAGATATTAATGTATGTAAACATTGTTCTCGAAAAAGATTCCTATTGTATGCTTCGGGTAATTGTTTCCTACAAAAATAGTCACTTGTGAAAACCTCACTTGAAATAAAAGCAATCTGAAATTATACCAAATGTACTATACTTAGGAATATATAGTAGAGCCATTTAAAAGTTGTGAACTTTCGTGAACTGGTAAAATTGAAAATTAGGCTATTTCCTTTCGGCTGTGGAGTTTCAGGTTCTGAAGCAGCTTGAGAGTGAGTGCGCTCCGTAGGTAGCAGATGGCTTCGCCCTGCAGTCATCTGGTCACATTTGATGGACAAAGGTCAGTAGGAAAGAGGTCAGACAGAAGTGACCATATTCAGGCATTTGCCTTTGCATTGTCCTTTTTTTTTTTTTTTAATTTCATTGTATCAATGTGAGATAGAATGCTTTGTTTCACTCGCTCTCACTGTTACACATTCCCCCAAACCCTGAAAAAAGGAAGATGATGACCTCTCAGCATCTTCCTTTTTTCAGGGTTTGGGGGAATGTGTAACAGTGACAGTGAGTGAGACAAAGCATTCACATTTCAGGTAACACCGCCTCACCTGGCACAGTTGTGTCGATCTTGCTTCCTTGTTGACCATGTTCTTCTATCTCTTCTCTTCCTAGACCCCCAGTAGCGTTTTTGTAATAGTGGGGAATTATAATTAGGGACATAGTGGCAAGATGTCAGCCCTGATTGAAATCCTGCTCGCTCCACTTCATGGACTCCCAAGCAGAAGGCGCTGAGCTTGGGCCTGGGGTGCCCTCCAAGAGTGTAGAAACTTGGAGCTCTGTAAAACGATCTCGTATAGGAAGGCAAATGGCGAAAATGATTTTAGGGATTCCCCAACTAGCTCTAGAACTGAAAAATGATAATGTGGTTAACCTCTGTATGATATATCCTCTAGGCTCCAGATAAACATCATATCACTCCTCTTCTGTCTGCCGTGTATGAAGGCCATGTTTCCTGCGTGAAATTGCTTCTGTCAAAGGTGAGCTCGATTGCCAATTTTTTGTTGTATTTTTGTGTTACTTGTATGATATCAGGGACAGAAAAACTAGAGGTAAGATCCAGAATTGGAATTTAAATGTGTTTCTCAAAAGAGTTGGTTCACAAGCCATTCACTGTTGGTGTTGGGTAAATTTTGGCCAGACTCTCATTTCTCAGCCAGGGGCCATATAACTTCCTTGTGGAGCCTGAGGATCTTCCAAGGGGCCATGGTCAGAAGAAGGTCGAGAAAACTGGGCTAGAATAGAAATTAGAAGTTTCCTTCTCAAGAATATCTATTAAAAAGAAATCCGCTGAACTAAACATTGTATTATTGTCAGTTTGAACTTGAAACAGTTCTCAAATTGGGGACCCGAGAGATATTCCAAGGGTAAAGGCTGGCTTGCATGAGGCCAGCCTCAGTTCCACCTCTGACACCTCCTGACCCCCTAGCTTTGCTGGGTGTTGCCCAGAATTTATATGCTTCAGTTTCCCTTAGTACCTACTGAGCAAGATTATCAGAGATAGGTCACAGTTACGCTGTTTCTTCATGTAGTTGAGACTGTAGCAAATTTAAACTGTTTTGTGTTTATTATAAAGGTTAGATGGACTTTAAAAATTGAGTCTTAGGCATTAACTTTTCAGTTGTAAGCATTGTATTGTAGATGGAATCAACTGGTTGACCGACCACATACGTTACCTTCATAAAATGAGATACCAGCATTAATCCCAATTACCATCTCACGGCCATTCACTATTTAGTCCTTCCCATACCAACCAACGAAAAGTCTTCAAAATCACCTTTGAGGGGTGGGAGACATAGTACAGGACTGGTAGGATGCTTGCCTTGCAAAGTGGCCAACGCAGTTTGGTCCCCCCAGGTACCTCATGTGGTCCTCAACACCACCAAGTATGTCCCAAAACAAATAACAGTTCTCTGTGTGTGTTTGTACCCTTGAAAAACATTGGGTAATTTATCCAACAATTCATGAAAGGAGTGCACAATTCTAACAATACTGCAGATAACTGACCCCAGTTCAGCCACATCTTCCTGATGGAAATCACTCTGGCACACATCGCCAAGGCAACAGATAAACCCAAACCAGGTTCTCACTTCTCTGAGATTTCTCAATGCCCTTCCTTGGTTGGACCCCATTTTCTTGACTCAACCTCTTTGCTATGTATAAAATGGAAGAAATAGTTAATAATACTGTGTTGAGTATTTGAGAGTTAGTAAATGACTATTTCTTATCAGGTGTTTATTCTCATGGTGAGAATATTTAACTACGTGAGATGGTATAGGTTAACTTGATTATAACAGACATTTCACAACATAAAGATAGGCTTTCACTTAAAACTTTATGTACTTATTATCTCATAATCCTAATATTTGAATGTCTTGGAGACAGTATAAAAGGTCATTTATATTTTACCTCATACCCTCATAGTCAGGAACTTTTCTCTAAAATCTTAAAATGATCTTTTGTTCTTGCTAGATATGCAGTAGCACCTTTAAAAGCATACTGCACATGACATAACAACAAATCTAAGACTATTATCTATGAACTGAAAATTAACTGTAGTTAGTTTTCTATTATTTATATCCAAATAATGAAAAACAGACTAGGTTGGGGGCTTCTGTCTTTCAAGAGTTAAGTGCAGGTGATAAGCTTTTCCATTTTTATTCTCTTAAGAGATGAAAACAATAACAGCAACACTTAGCCCACCTGGTCGGTTAAGTTAAACATTCTCAGCAGATGCTGCTGTTTGCATAGTTTGCATATGCCATTCCCTAGAGCATAATTAGTGCTTCCTTTGGACAAGCCAAAGTATACAATAGAGTAGCTTGGCAATTAAGTTAGGAAAATGAACTTTAAGTTCTGGTCCTATCGTTTAATGGCCACTAAATTACCTAACATTTGAAGTCACTGGAATTAGTGGATGTCTCAGAATTATTCTGAAAATTTAAGATGGTGTTAGTCCCCATTTTGACTACTTTCTCACTGAATTCTACCTGTCTGCATGAGCAGAATGCCAGTTTCTCTGTTGTTGTTGTTGTTGTTGTTGTTGAGCTACCCCAGGCGGTGCTCAGGGGTCACTCCTGACAGGCCTGGAGAACCATATGTGTCACCGGGGATTGAACCTGGATCGGCTGTGTGCAAGGCAAGTTCCCTCCCTGCTATACAGTCACATTTTTATGTCCCTTAAGGCTCTAGTTTAAATTTCTTACAAACTTTGGGCAGGTCTCTGAGTTTAGCAGTCGTATTTCACAGAGCTATTGTGAGGACAGATTGATGTGACTTATTTACGGTATTATGTTAAAAATGGAAAACTGCTAGGAACATTCTAACATTCACCATATTGACTATTAGATGCTATTATGGGGTCTCCACATATATTCTTTACTCTGTCTCCTGCTTCAATACATTGAGAATGAAAATAAATGCTTTGTGCGTGTATTTGAATCATATTTTAAATGAGTGTTTTAGTAGACTCCAAAATTGAATTAGTAAGTTCTGTGGTTATAATACTGTTTAAGTGTATGTTCATGCAGTTAAAAATTCTCAGGGTCAGGCCAGAGAAATAATACAGGGGTAAGGTGCTTACCTCTAATCCAGTTTCCATCCCAGGAAGAATCAAGCACCAGCAGGAGTGATCCCTGAGCACTCAAAAAGAGAACAAACAAAAATTCCCACTGTTCTCAACACTGTTAAACTATCTTGAAACTTTAAACAAATGGCTCAAATCATGAGGTAATGGAGTTCTTTGGGAGCAGTTTCTGCTAAAATATTCACAAGCTCATTCAAAAGAAGTATTTTATAGCATTTCTAATACAGTGATAAATCATAGTATATACATGCACTAGTTAACAGTTTCTATGAGGCAAACATTACCCTGATACCACACACAGGATAGTAGTAAGAAGGTGTTTGCTTTTCTTTAGGGCACCGAAATCATACAGTGCCAGATATCTGTAATATGATGTAGTTGTGAATTTATTTTCACCTATTTAACAAGTGTTTACTGAACATTCGCAGTTCATCAGGCATTATCCTGAGGGTGAATACAGCAGGGTGCTTGCCCTGGGAACAAGTCTATGATATGTGCTTTAGGAAAAAGCAGTCTTTTGTAATTTAAAAAAAAAAAAAACTAAAGTGATTCATTAAGGAAAAAACTTATAGGTGTCTGAAAGCAAATAAACAAACAAAAAAATGGCTCTGCATTAAAAAAAAAACCCTGCTGCATAGCAAAATAACACAACAAATGGGGGGGGGGGGGTGGAATGAGGGCCAGGCATATATATCCCTTATCTGTTTCAGGACCTGGGATCGAGTGTTACCTCCCCAAAAAAACAAAACAAAAATAGTCTTTTCCTTGGGTCTGGCAAGATAGCTCGGGGGACTGGAGTCCATGCCAGAATCCCAGATTTAATTCTTGGTGCTGCATAATCCTCCACGCACTGCGGGGAACAAGCCCAGATCCCAGTGTAGTTCCTGAGCATTAACAGATAGAACCCCCAAAAAAACAAAAACAAAAAAAGGGGGGGGGGAGAAGAAATTTGCAAACTGTATATCTAAAAGCAGTTAGTGTCTAGAATATATAAATGACTCATAATAGCCGAATGTCCACCGTCTTTTTGAAACCTGACAGTTAAAAGCTAAGTAGCACAAATGCTACCGTTCCTGTCCTGAAACCATAGTATACTTACGAGTTCAGATCCCACTGTCTGGCATGCAGGAAGCATGAGATTCTTAGGACTACAGGCGCTTTCTGCCCGCCCGACCCCCACAGCCAGGTGTGTGTAAACACCACGAAAAGGGATGTGGTTCCCCCCAGCACCACCCTGTTGAGCACCATAGCCAGAGGCGTAGCTTCTGCCAAAAGGTATGTGAGCTATGCTGTGACGACCCCTTGTTACAACATAGCAAACCACGGCATCTAGCATCAAAAGCAGGGGGAGGCCAGGAGTGTATGGTACAAATAAGTAGACAGGTAAAGGGCCCTGGGGGAGGCGGGGAGCAGAATTTTTTTTTTTTCAAAGAAGATACATACAAGGTCAAGAAGTATATGAAAAGATGTCCAAGTAACTAATGAGAGAAATGCAAATCTAGAACTGTGTCCACAGAAAGACAGGAAGTAACAGATGCTTGCCCGAGGCTGAAGGGAAAGGGAGCTCCGAGCTCTGTACCACTAAGGTAGCAAGTAGATTCCTTCAGCGATTACAAAGAGATAAAATGTTAATTTATAATTTCGAATGTATAAAATCCCTTAGCAGGACTGGAGTAAACAAGCCTTTCTTCCTCTAGCAGAGGGCAACCATAAGCACCAGGAGTGAACACTGTACTCGGTGCCAAGCACTGAGGAATTTGTGTACTGACAGTTTAGCTATACTCAGCTCCTTCGCCACAAAAAGCCTTTGTCAAGACAATCTCATAACCACGTTACAGGTTTTACAGTTCCCTTCTTAAAATGTTACTGATCTAGTTGCCTATTTGTGCATTTTAGGAACTAGTGATAGTAACAGAATTGGGTTGAGTGAAATAAGAAATAGATAAGGCAACAGAGAAGATGAAGCCACATGAACATTATCATATCTTTTTAGCTACATTGTCAACTGTCCAAGGGCAGAGGAAACTTGGCTTTACATTTTAACATTCTTTAATATTTTACAGTTTATCAAACAACAGTGGATGAAATCTGTGGCTTGCTGTATAAACACTTGTTTAGAAACAGTGTTGGACTTGGAGAAAAGGCACCCTTCTCTCTCGGGGGATGTAAAGTATGGTTTCAGGGATGACACTTGGAATATGGTAGAAGTAGTAACAGTTATTTTATAAACCAGTGTTGAATTTTATAAACAGCGACTTTGAACATCAAGAAGTTACTTGTGAAGCCTTGAGATAGTAAGGGACTGATACTAATCTATTCAAGCCATGTAACTTGGCCTCATCTTCTGCCAGGAAACTATCACCTGAATCAGATTCTAAATATAGAAAGACAGCCTGCCAGTGCTGAGTCAACTTAGATATCAGAACAAAAGGTCTTTTTTTCTAGAAATTACCTGAAAATATTGTGTATTGTTTGCCATGGGGCAGCCTATTCACGTGGCAATGTCACATTCCTCTCAGTAATTTGTCTTCAGTGAGCTGTTTTGTCCAGTTCTTTGTCAGGTATGTCCAGGCCCTACCTCAGTACTGTTTCATTGAATACACATTATTGACTGCCTGTTACCAATTGCTATGCAAGGCCTGGGGAATTCAAAGATTAATAGCTTGGATCCTACTAGTCACATACTTAGTAAGTAGGAAGTCAGGTGTGTGAAATGAACAACAAGTGTGTGAAAGTGTTCAGATTGCTGGGACTGGATTTTGTTTGTAAAAGAACAAGGATGTAGGGCTGGAGCGATAGCACAGCCGGTAGGGCGTTTGCCTTGCATGTGGCCGACCCGAGTTTGATTCCCAGCATTCCATATGGTCCCCCAGTACCACCAGGAGTAATTCCTGAGTGCAGAGCCAGGAGTAACCATTGTACATCACAGGGTGTGACCCAAAAAGCAAGGGGGGAAAAAAAAAGCAAGGATTTGAAGGGGGAAATTTGAGTGTGGTTCTGGAAATCTTGGGAACTTGGTTTCAAAAAATCTAATAAGGTGTTGAGACAACATGCCAAGCTGAAGCAGCATTTGAACAGTGTCACAGGCGCAAAACAGAACACAGTGCTTTATGGCTGCAACATAGTCCGGAAGGAGGAAGTAAAACTTTCAGACGGTGATCAAGCAAATAGTGCGTTATTTTATTTATCTTTAGTTTCTGGGATGCCATCACAGCTTCACAGGTAGGTAAGTCTTGTGTTTTCAAAAATCGGATCACTGTGGTCTGAAATTGATTTATGTAAGAGGTAGGGGGAAGAATAAAAAACTAATGCATTAGAATCTTTATATGACCATTCTGGACTAAGACAACAGTGGAAACATATGGGACAAGTGAGAAATGTTGAAAAGAGTAAAGTTGAGAGACTTGGTGACTGAATTAATATGAAGAGTAAACAAGGAAAACTACACAGTCTCCACATATAAGGGAAAATGGTGTGTTTATCACCATGATAGAATAACTGGGAAAGCAGATTAGGGGGGGAAGTCATTTTAAAAGTGGGGGCAGGGGTAGAGGGGTGGTGGTCTTAGACCAAGTGGTAGAGCACATCCCCAGCATGTACAGAGCTGTGAGTTCAGTCGTCAGCATTTCATAGTCCCCCAGCACTGCCATGAATGGCCCCTATAGAGGAAAGCATTTTAGGAAGGGTTGAGTGTGAGGTATTTGTGGAACTTGAACTGATTAAGTCTCAGAGGTAGTGTTTATATTCAAGGATTTAAAGTTCAAGATAGATGTTCGGGGTTGGGGGAAAGGTGGAACATTATTATGGATAAGATGGTCCGAAGAGAGCATATAGACCAGGTGGGAAGGCCAAACACCAGAAGGCAGGAGCCAAGGACCACAGCCGTGGACAAGAGCTCACAGTCTCCCTGGGATAGAAAAAGGGAGAGGGAAGTGGGGTGGGAGAAAGGAGAGGCAAGTTGTACACATACAAGAAAAACTTGAAGAGCACATTTTGTTTGAGATATGACTACAATGAATTCAGAGTAAAGTTGCTGTCGTTATTCAAGTGTGATTTTGATTGAAGTCAGGCATTGCTGACTTCCAAAATATTTTCAGAATAAGATGAAGCTGTAAATTGTCTCCCGTGTGCGTTTTTCCATTTGCCTTTTAGAAAGAGGACGTTTGTTGAGCAAGTTTTGGTTTCCTGTGTAATAGCTATGACTTTAAGTCTGAGTTGTGCACAGTTGCCATATGCCACTTGGAGTTCAGCCTAAAATATGTTAAAGCCAGTTACTGTGTTTGTTTTACCCCAATCAGCAGGCCATATATGTCAAGGAGAAGCTGCTTCAATGAGGACGAGTTCCCTGGGAAAAATGACCTTACAGCACAGACCAGCCTACCAACCTTTGTACACTTATTTTCTGAGGGGAAAAAAAGTAACTTAGTCCATTGTTACTGTAGGTTCCCTTTGCTATGGCAGTTCAACCATAAAAAGTAAGGTCGAATGTCTTGTTATTTATAATTTAATGAATAGGGCTGAGTTCTTGGTCTCCTGATTCTTTCTTTTGGGAGCATTGCAGAAATTAACAGAGAGAAAACTAATCATACTGGTCTTCTAGATACCCTTGTTAAGTCTGTTTCCCTTAAAATGATGGAAGTGTTGTGTATTTTAACCTTTAAGAATCTTCCCAATACCAAATGACTTAACTTGTAAATTTTAAAAGAACGATTACTAGTCATTCTCATAGTTTTCCAAAATAGTGGAGAGAATGCTCCCAAACTCATTTTAATAAGCTAATATTATCTAAAAATCAAAACCAGATAAGAATTTTACAAGAGAAACGTATAACAAGCCAGTATCCTTCATGAACATGGATGCAAAAGTTCTCAGCAAAAAGCCAACAAACTGAAATCACCATTAAATTCTACACAATGATCAAGTAGGATTCATTCCTGGGATGCAAGGAGGGGTTCAACATATTCAGTCAGTAAATATGTCACATTAGTAGAATGAAGATAAAATCCATGATCCTCTTAATAGCAGAAACAGTGTTTAACAAAATTCAACATTCTTTCATAGTAAGTGCTAAATGGTTTGGGATAAAAGATTATATTTCAACATAAGGATACCATTTAGGATAACCCCATAGCTAACATACTCAAGAGTGAAAAATTGAAATATTTTTCTCCAAAATCAGGAAAAAGATCACTCCTGCTCAGCTTAGAACTATTAGATAAAACAGAAAGATGTAAAATTGTCTGTTTTTTGAGGATGACATGATTTTATAGGTCTTACATACAGAAAACCCCAAAGTCAACACGCTCTTACCATAAAGCAAACTTAATGAGGCTGTAGAATACAAAAATCACTTGCATTCATGTATATTGACCATAAAAAAAAAAAGTGGACTACCCCGTATATCACCACACACTTACTCTTTCATTTTGTGCTACATAAAGTATCAGCTCTGAAAAACATCCCTTAAAATGCTTAAAATACATTCTTTGGTGGGCAGTATTCAGCCAGGATTTGGTTTGTGTGTGTTGGGGTCAGGAAATTAGGTGTTGATAAAGTGTTGGCTTTTGTAATAGGGGAACATTTCCTAGACTATCATTTTCCATGCTGGTTTATAGTCAGCTTGTCTATGCTCATCAAGACTCAGTCTAAGTATTACCTCATGCAGGAAGACTTTAGCCTGCACATCCCATTCTGGTTTATGGGCACTTCTGTGTGTGCAATATTATTTTTCACACCCTGTTATGTCATACTGGTTAATTTTACTCTCCCACACTAGCTAGTCTGGCAGACGAGCTTGTTTTTCTTTGATTCTCCAACCTTGGTACAGTGTCTGTGTAGCAGCCATTCAGTAAATACTGTCAAATGGGTTGAATGGATTTGCCAGATAAATGGGATGAGGCATTCATTCCATATGGCCCTTGAGTGTATAGATCCAACACAGGATCTTCAGAAATGAGGAGAAATTCCCTAGGATTCAAGAAAGATTAATAGGGGGAAAAAGTGATATTTTTGACTAGACTTGGTCTCTAAAGGATTTGTGATATCAAGTTTAGATTATTCTATAGTCCTCAGATGAGCCAGAGAACTACAAGACACTGGAGGGTTTTTTGTTTGTTTTTTGGGGTTTTTTTTTTTTTTTTTTTTTTGGCTTTTTCAGTCACACTGACGATGACGATGTGCCGGGTTTACTCCTGGTTCTGCACTCAGGAATTACTCCTGGCAGTGATCAGGGGACCATCTCCATCTGGGATGCTAGGACCAAAGCCGGGTCGGTTGCGCGCAAGACAAACGCCCTGGCCATTGTGCTAGTCCTCCGGTCCCCACTGGAGGCTTTTTGGTGACTGAACCTTGGGCGGGATAGGATCTAACACAGATCACTCAAATTGCGTTTGAGGGATTCGGTCGTGATCTGGGAGCAGGTACCTCAGTGCACCAAGCACCTTTCTAGAGACAGGGAACAGTTAATAACACAGACAAGATTCCTGTTCTGGGGCTTTCCTTCTGGTGAGAGATTACCTGACACAACTATACGCACAAAGGCTTATGCGCACATTCTCAAAACTGAAAGGCTGTGTTGTGTGCGAGTTGTTCTGAACAGCACATGACGCTGAAGCTCCCAGCCAGCCCCAGCTCCAGCATCTTCCTCGGGTCCAGCAGGGAACCTCCTGTCACCTCCTAATCTCTTGCCGCTGCGTTTCATGACTCACAGCCAGTGTCCGAGTTGTTCTCTGGGAACTTGTCTAAAAGAAACTTGTCTAAAAAAGCGAAGAGTCCATTTTGCCACCTATTGCCACCTTCTTGAACAAAAGCAGTCATTTTTCCTATTTTATACAACACATAGAGACATTCACTTCTTTTAAAGATTACTTAATTAGAGTTGATAGTTTAAAATAAAGCTATTCATTGCTCATGTTACTGGCAAGTTGTAAGCCACAGAGCTGTGTCTGTAGCTTAGAGTTTTTACTGCCTGAACTAACAATGCGGCTTATTTAAAGCTAAATCCATAACCATGCCAACTGTTTTGGGGGTTCTTAGCCCCCTTCAGTAGAACGGGCTCCGTTAGTAAAGGAATTTTTTAATTCCCCCTCCAAGCATTAGCCTGTGCCGAATAATGAGCCTTTCTTTCTCATTTGCGGGGCGCATATGGTGATGAAGACTCTCTCCTCTCTCTTCCAGGGTGCTGATAAGACTGTGAAAGGTCCAGATGGACTAACTGCCTTCGAAGCCACTGACAACCAGGCAATCAAAGCTCTTCTTCAGTGATGGACAGATGGGCTGACAGCTCTCGAAGAATGACTCTCCTGTGGCCTCACACTGCTGCCTGTCTGTCTGTCACTCTATCTGCCAGCTTCTTCAGCTCAGTTCTTCTAGAGGGGTGAGGGGAGAGAGAAATTCATTACCAATCAGACTTCCAGAAAACAAATGTGGGGGAGGGGAGAAACCCTGAGCAGGCTCTGACGAGGATTCCTGATCAAGTCAGCCTCTTTGCCCTGCCTCGTCAGAGACGCAGCCGGTGCCCCAGGGAGAGCCATAGCAAAACACCAGTTATCATTTGACCTTTTTTAGCTCCCCAGCTAACTTAACGAGGTTGTGTCAAGGGTCCGCTGACACAAAGGCCAACTCTACCTATTCGGTAGCCGTAGCTGCCAGCAGGGGTGGCTGCCGCCATGTAAACTTAGGGTGCTGAGATAAGCAATTAGCTCTAGCCTTCTGCCTTAAGATGCACTCTATTGGGGACCCCCTGGCATCTCGGGGCGCTGCCTGTGGTTGGTGACCAAATCTTCCCCCAGTGACGTTCAGCTTTATGTGGAAGCTCAGTTTCAGCGAGCAGGGCACAGCCCGAAATCGCTGGGTGACTGAACTTGGGATTTCCTCTCCTCTTTCACATGAGTTTCATCAGTCTTTACCTAGAACTGACTTATTTATAAAAATCTTAACTTTTGGAAGTCGAAAGGAAAAAATCATTCCAGTATGTTGTCTTTTTTTTTTTTTCCCTCCTCTAGATTTAAGATATATCTATAACATTGAAACACATTCAGACTCCTTCTGGTAGTAAAGGAGATTTAAAAAAAAAAAAATAGAATCATAGCCATAAGCCTGTTTGTATCATAAATGGAGTAAACAGCTGTCTCAGTAACCAATGGGTTTTCTTGATTTGCGGTTTGAATGGACTGGTTTCAGTTATGTTTGGAGAATTAAGGAATGTTCTTTGGAATGCCTTTCTCAGACCCCTCTTGGATGCTGATGATTTAATTGCACCAAAGCTGCCATTGGGGTGAGAGTTACTGTTTGAACAAATTTAACCCCATCCCTTCAGAAATCTGCATATTACCAATTTCCTCTTGAGTGTGGCTGGGCTTCTGCTGAACACTTGCCGTCCCAACCCATGTACTCTTTCTAATCATGCATCCTTCAAGCAGAGTCTGTTCTGAGAGACAGTGCCCCCGAGTCATGTTCTGTGGCCTGCAGAGATATTTAGGTATTTAGATACATTTTCACATTTATTTCATCAAGCAGTACGACCTAAGGCATAGAACCTTAATTTTCTGACATTAAAAATATTTTAATTTCTTTGACTTGCCATCCGTATGATTACTAAAAATATTAGGGTTTTTCCTTACCAAATCATGCAATAATTGAATGTACCTCAAATTTTTAAAAAGTGGGGGTGGGAGTGGGTTTGGGACTTGTATTCTGATTGTGGATAGTCAATATTTTTTAAAGGCAATGTAGCATTCTACAGCAGGGTTAACCAGTACCAAGAACAATCAGGCTGGTTAATAAATTTTACTGACCAGTTGCTGATTGGTGATTGGTGTGTGTGTGTGTGTGTGTGGGTGGGTGCATGCATGCGTGAGTGAGTGTGATTTGCCCCATGAACCCTTTTTTAATCCTGTGACTTTTCACTTATAAATAATTTAGCCTTGTAATTGTCCCGAGACAAGAAAACAATCACAGAATGGTGATTTAAGTACTTGGATGTGTTTGGCTTGCGCTGCTGTCTTGGTGCAGCCTCTGAGAGTTGGATTAAAGTCAATACTCCATGCTTGACAGCGTCACTGAGCTGAAATGTGAAGTGCTCCTCGTTGGAGGTGGGGGCACTCTGTCGGTCTCACAGTGTACTGATGAGGTGTGGGCTATCTCTACCTTCACCTCTTGACACATGCTCTTCGGAAATGTGGATTTCCCCCTCGACACGGTTCTTTTTACCTTTCCTTTCAGACTGGTTTGTCGTAGTTGGCAGAGAGTGCACTGTCCTATCCTACCTGAACCTGGTCTGCTTTCTCTGGTCACTGACCAGGAAACCACGTGATTCTTTGTATATTTCTCCTGATGTCCTTTGTATAGCAGTAGAGGCTACTTCGCCTTCCCCGATCTTTCTTAGCCATTTTGTAAACCCCACAATTAAAGAGCAATTGCTTAAGAGGATAACGTATAAACATAGAGTAGGCTGACCAAGTTGGTTTACAGTTTTCTTCTTACAGTTTTTTTTTAACTCAGTTATTTATAATGTATTTCTGAACCACTTGGCAGAGAAATTCACAACACTTAATGTTCATGTTTTGAGTAAAGGAAACTAAAATCATGTCTGCTTTTTTGGTACCATGTGCATTAATGAAAGATTAAGTAATTCTGTTCTCCACTATTTAACATCTCAGAAAAGAGTTTGCATGTTCTGTAGTTTTGTATTAAGTCATTTCGTATGCACTATATCAAGTAAAAACAGGTGATTTATCTGTTTACATCAGTGTACTAACATCTTGCAGCTTCAGACTGGTTGGTATCCTGTAGACTTGTAACTCAAATTCAGCACCTGAGTCTAGCCAAGCAGTTCTTCTATGCACTGCTCACCTTCCAAATCCAGTGGGCACCCAGGAGACATCGGTGGGTGCAGTGTGTAGTCACTGCTAGCAAATGGGCCCTTTCTGCATTTATTTTTTCCCAAATAATGAGTTTTAAATCGATATGTATCTGTTTGATTTTCTTCCCTAAAACTTCAACTGAGCTGCTGTTTTCTTTCCCGCAATATTGTATACTCGACTGTGTGTAGCAGAAGCTGGTGAGAGTGCCCTCCTACATAAGCAACTGCAGTGTTTTGCATGCAAAATTTTAAAAATTTAATTCTATTTTGTAAATGGAGAAACAATCATATCTTTCTAAGCAGTAATGGAGGAAGACTAGTACTTTGTGCATTTTGATATATATTTGAGTTTATTTTTTCCACAATGTAATACTTTGGATAGGTTTCTCATAATTATCCTTGCTCATGTATATCTGAATGCTAAATAATACTGTGTTTAAGTTTTGTGTTGCAAGAACAAATGGAATAAACTTGAATTGTGCTATAGCAAACGTGTCGGTAGCACTTCTCCCCTACCCCCCACACTCCCGGCTACTGCCCTCCTTTTCTAGTCTTCTCCAAACCAAATACCAGGTTTTTGGTTGACTCTAATATTTAATGAATCTAAAACTTCCCCCTGTTTGTTCCTCCTCTTAAAAAAAAAATAAGCTAGGAAGAAAATAAGAGCTATGAAAGATTTCATGGAAATGAACCGTGTTGCTCAGATCTGCATTTGTATCAGTCTCCTGGTAAAGAACATTCTGTTGATTAATAAAGTTCTGTAAACCTCTTTGTTTACTAGTAAACAAAGTAGCATGTTGTAGGCCATGAGCATCTTAATGTTAAAGGAAACAAGGTCATGGTGATCCTCTTCTGTACTTTCATGTGTTCACATGTCCTAAACTTGCCTCTTCGAGTTTTTAGGATGCACATTCAGGATAAACATTTTGATTTCACACTAAATTACTTGGAACTTGGAAACTGAACAGGATCCTGTATGGGTTATGTTTATTCCACCGGAATCTTGTCAACAGCTCTAAGATGACTGAAGTTTCCTTCTGAAATGGTTAATGATCCCCAAAACATACAAACCAGAGTTTCAGAACTTTGACATTGCGAACAAGTATAGACATGGGACGGCATGTTTGCCTGTGGCTGGACTGATCACGGGAGAAGACGGAATCATGTTGAGAGTGTGTGTCTTTAAAGGGGATTAATTCTATTTTTAACAGAACAGAACCGCCTGATAGCATGATTGAAGAGCAGCCCAGTATCAGAGGAAGGCACACAGCAAGCTTGCTTTCGCTTCCAGAATGCTTGCTGTGAGGTGGTTTTGTGATCGGAGAATTGCTATACAGTCGACCATGGCTAATGTCTCAGCTCTGTAATATTTTTTCTTTCCCTGCATCACCAGTGATGTCCCTGGGCTCGCAATATCACCCTGGACTGGGGAACCTGCTAGAAAGTCCTAGTGCAGGGCTGCTGAATCAAACTGGGGCTGGGCCCAGCCGTCTCTGGTAACCGGCCTTACAAGTGAGTCAGCTCACATTTACAGACCCCATGTTCATTCCTGAAGGGAAAGTGCATGGGAACTTTGAACACGTGACACAGCAAAATTCTCCATTCCTGAAAAACCCTCAAACTTGCCCAGTTAGGTTCTAGGCAAAAGAAGTCCTAGTAAGATGGAGTAAGATGAAAATGAAAGACCAGTGAGAAGGGTCAGTGTTCTTTAGTATGCAGAGAGTGTTTGCCCTGAAGCTTGTCCTGTCACCTGCTCAGGACAGTGCTTCCTAGTCCACCATAGCCCAGGGTGACATTTTCTTTGGCTGAGATGCTGAGAGTTGAACCCTGCCTACATCCTTAGGGTGAAGAGAACATGCAAGAAAGTAGGGGGATGGGCTGGGTGTCCTGTCTTGGCCAGCTGCACCTCACAGGGATTGCTCCTCAGCTGTCCCTACGACTTCCTTCCAGTCCAGTACTCCAGTTTCCACTGTGGACACCGTATGTTGGCCCAGAACTGCCCTGTTGGTACCGCCTAATCAGTTCCAATGTCGGATCTGCTGTCTTCCTGATCAGCCATCATCCAAAGAAAGATTTCCAGTTGAGAATAAAATGTAGTCGCTCTGGTAGCATTGGACTTCTTTATTTGTCCAGAACTACTGAGGTCAAATCAGTATACAGTCAAATGGGAGATAAATTTGATTTTGTAAATCCTGGCTCAGTGCAGTGGGGTGAGGAGTAACGGGGTGGGGGGAGGGGGTTTAACACCGAAGTGTCCCTGTACTCAGATAACTGGCCAAGCATCTTTATAAGAATTGTGTATATCGGGGCTGGAGCAATAGTACAGCAGGTAGGGCATTTGCCTTGCACATGGTCCACCCGGGTTCAATTCCCAGCATCCCATATGCTACCCTGAGCATCGCCAGGAGTAAACCCTGAGTGCATGAGCCAGGAGTAACCTCTGTGCATCGCCGGGTGTGACCCAAAAAGAAAAATAAAAGTATATCATGGAGCCAGAGATATAATTCATAGTAAAGTACATTTCCCACGGATTAAAATCCCTAGAACCAAAAAGTAAGAAGTCTTGCTGATCTATTGCAAACACACATTAACATGGAAAGACTAATGCCAGACTCACTGATCCAGTGAGGGGATGTTGACCTGGGGTGGTGATACGGAGGTGATGGCGCAACTGTGGCCTCCTGAAACCAGCTTACAAGCAGCAAAGTGAAGATGTGACCAGGCACCTGGACTTCTGTGCACTCAGCAGCTGCAGCACTGAAGACTGGCAGCCCCAAGAACCCCAGCCTCTCATCAGAACAGCAATGAGACACTTCGAACTCCTGAAGGCTGGCTGGTCGGGCGGACTGCTAGTAAGCTCTTATATTGTTTGATTTTTAAGAACTTTCCACCCCATCCCCTGACTTTCTGTGTTTGCCAACAAGTCTAGAATTGTATTTTATCTCTCCATGCCTTCTTCCTGATCCCCCCTAACTAATGTTACCTAGTCATGGTGACAGTCATTATATCAGGGAACCTACCCAACTAACCATGTTTCCTTCCCTTGTGATCTGCTAGTCACACTTCAGAAGGCCAGAAAACCCTAGATCAATGTGAATTTGTCAGTTTTCCAACTGAAAGGAGATCGGAAGTATTGAAAAAGAAAATGATTTGTTGGATGACAACCAAGGGTGGGCACTGTGCTGAAAACTTTTCATATTGCCTTGGTCAATTTTCTCAATGATACCATAAATATGGACAAAAAGAGGTTAATGAACTTGCTCACAGCCAGTAAATAGATCGTAAACTGGGGCCGGAACTATAGTACAGCAGTCGGGGCACTTGCCTTCACCTGACCAACCCAGGTTCGATCCCAGAACCACATATGGTCCCCCGAGCCCTCCCAGGAGAGATCCCCAAGCAAAGAACCAGGAGTAAACCCTGAGCAGCTCCAGGTCTGCCTCAGAAAAAAAAGAAGAAAGAAAAAAAGACCACAAACAATAAAATTCAATTCTGGCTGATTTTAGATCAACAGTCTTTGAAACCCTCAACAAGACATTCAAAATCACGCTTATAAACAAACTTCAGGGCTTACAGAATCTACTAGAAGCTTTGCTATGACTCAGCACTGAGACCCCAGCCCTGGGCACTTTTGTTTTAAAAACAGTAGTTCCGGCAACTTTTATTTGAATGAAAACCTCTGACCTCAGGTACATTGCACTCCATTTCCCACATCTGACTTCGGTGGTCAAATGAGTGAAAGGCAAGTGGTCAACTGATCTCCACAGATGCCGAGGAAGCCCTGGTAGAGCTGTCCGGGCACCCGCTAATGACCTGTCCCCCAGTGCATGTGAGGAGCCGGGCTCCAAGACCACCTCTGTGCGCTGCATGGGCTCACTAAGCTGGTCTGCACCAGGGCTCAGTCCCCCTGATGGGCCTCCAGGAGCCAGAGCCCAGGGAGGGAGAGCACATCTGGTGCAAGTCTTGCTTGACAAAGGGCCCCATTCCCAAGCCCTCAGGACTCCAAGTGCTTGTGCTTCTCAGGTCCTGCCACAAACACCGGGCAGTGACACCAGCTCCTCATCTTCATCCTATGCCTTCCCCTTGTCCTTGAAGGGACCATTACCCTGGTCCTGTGGTTCGTCTCATGTCAGTAGCTATGAGCTCAAGTCTTGTTCCACGTTATTATTAGCCACTCTTTTCATCAGGATACTCAATAAGCAGAATAAATAAGTAAAACCAGACATCTGTCACTTCGCCACAGGCAACCCGTCCACTCAGGACACCTTGCCGTGGCCTAATGATGCAGAGATCCGAGAGGAATTCTTTGCACTCGGGGATATTTCTGGGTGGGTGGGCGGGCAGCTGCCTTGCAGACATGAGATGGTGATTCCACTCCCACCCCACAACCCTGGTGAGCGACCCCCAGTCACGGCAACAACAACAGAAAAAGGGATTTTTTTTTTTAACAAGAAAAAGTACATTAAGTTGTGTGTTGCGGGGGGGGGGGGGGGCAGTTTGTTTGGGTTATATGAGCCAACAGAATTATCTTAAAAGTTGAACTCTCGGGGCTGGAGCAATAGCACAGCGGGTAGGGCATTTGCCTTGCACACAGCCAACCTGGGTTCGATTCCCAGCATCCCATATGGCCCCCTGAGCACTGCCAGGAGTAATTCCTGAGTGCGTGAACCAGGAGTAACTCCTGTGCATTGCTGGGTGTGACCCAAAAAGATAAAAAAGAAAATTGAACTCTCAAATTTCAGAAGATTCAAAAGGGTAACACTTTAAAATGAGGTCTCACAAAGTCATGAAATTTACATAC